TATTATTCATCTGTGAAAAATTCAAGTAGTCTTGAAATAAATATATTCTCTCCAAAATGCGCAAGAAACTTTTTTTTTTCAATCAAAGTAGATTTCAAGGTTGACTTTAAATCGAGGTTAAATTTAATGGATTGCCTTAAAAATCAAGGTTGTTTTTAAAATGCGTCAGAATCCCCCTTTTCTAACTACTAGGAAACTTTGGAATTCTGACTTGTAGTGGCCTTATTGGCACCTAGTTCGCGGGAAAAGGGTGGCAAGATAGAAAGGGATTGAGGGTTGCGTTTTATCACTTCCTCTATCACTAACTCACTTCCTCTATCACTAACTCACTTCCTCAATCACTAACTCACTTCCTCTATCACTAACTCACTTCCTCTATCACTAACTCACTTCCTCTATCACTAACTCACTTCCTCTATCACTAACTCACTTCCGCTATCAATTAGAAAAGTAGGAGGTCTTTGTTTTCGGGTCAAAGTTTTCGGGTCTTAGTTTTCAGGTCTTCGTTTTCGGGTCTTTGGTTTAAGGTCTTCGTTTTCGCGACAAGCCGAAACTGTGTTGACAAATTGAAATTCGTATTTCAACTTTATCACAAATACAAAGTACATGGTAATTTATATGAAATTATGTAGATATTCCAGCCCGTGATTAGAAAAATAACATGCGCTTGGCTGTGTAGATCGCTGATCTAACCTCGACAGTAAACACAATTACGGTGTCTGGTACATACAATGAATTCTGTCGCATCTTTTTTTAAACCATATTTTACTTCTTTCTGGGTTGCAATTAGAGAGGGGTAAAAAAAGTGGCGCGGACACGATGCAGTAGCGTGGGCATGATGCATGCCTTTTTTTTTCTTTTTATCTTGAAAATAATAAGAAGTTTGTACTGTGTTCTTCTTAAATAGGTCAGTGCCTTTATGAGTTCAAGTCTTACTGAGTGTCATATTTCGCACCATTATAATAAGAAATGCCTACCGTAGAAGTAAAGGTATAAAGTTTAAAGCTTGGTAATTGAGTAGAAAGTTACGGTCGCTGAGTTTCCCTTTTTCAAAAAAATTAACTTGGGTAGTAATCTTGGCCCTGGCGGGATGGAATTTGAAGGAAGTAATTTTCAAGGGTTCAAATACCCGGTTGATGGGGGGAAGGAAGTGAAAGTTTCGGATCGATCGACGTATAAACATAAAATTCGGTTCAGTTCAGTACCTACTCTAGCCCACGCCTCTCAAAGAAGCATCAACGACGTTTAAGCCCCATAAATGAGGCTTTATATCCTGAGTACACTGTACATAGAATATGCACTCGCTCGAAGCGATGGTGTGTGCGAAACTATTCTCAGCAAACCTCGAGGAGCCACGCTGAACCAATATCATTCTAGATCATTCTCCTCATGCAAGGTTACAGAGAACTGGAAAAGACTGAAGGAAGACAGGAAAATAATTACTGAAATAATAAGTGTGGCGTTCTTTCAAAACGAGAACTTTTCCAATATTGTAGCTAAATGATACCAACACTTCGATGTGCGTTATAAATCAAAACAAATTTCAATTTCCACACTTGTTGCAGGCAACTTTATAAAAGAGGTATGAAGGTAAGTAGATTAATAATAATAAAAAAAAAAAACACTGACCTTCTCCAAACAGGATCTCAAATCAAGCAATAAATTTCCACTCTCAGACTCAAGAATAAACTTAATTTGTGATTACCCGTGCATTCCCACGAGGTCAAGTTGATGTCTATCTCAAACCGCATTCCGTTTTGTGTTTACAGCCACTGCCAGAGTATATTACGTCGGTATTTAAGGCTTAATTTTGATATAAATGCCAATTCGTCTCAGGGACTTGCCAAAAGGTTGGGTTTTTCTTATGCTGTAAACTTGAGGAAATGGTAAATCATCATGTTAGAAAACATGACAAATTTGCATATCTGCGAAACCGTTTGCGCGACAAGTAAGTATCGTTAATATTAAGTTTGCAGTGACTTAATTCAAATAAATGACTAGCTGCTATCACCAACAGTATATCAGAATTGGTGAGAATGTTTCTTTTACAAAATCCTTCGTTCTCAAAACGGTAAGTAGAATAAACTCTGAGCGTAATTGCACGTGGCTTGTTTACATTCAATGAATAACCAAAAATCATCCAATTGCAACAAATTTGCTTAAAAATCAATACGTGTATGTTAAATCAAAAATATCTTCACTGTATTGGGAAACTTTCGGAGCGATAAATGTTCTTTAACCGTTTTCTTCTGATCGGTGAATTGATCTAAGAGCTTCTAGGACCAAGTCCCATATACAGCCAGGTCATTACGGGTTACCTTGACCGTCTCATTTCCTTCATTTTTTTATTTATATGATCTGTTCATCTTTGAACAAAAGTTGTTCATAGTAAATGGTAACCTCTGAATCGAGGTAACACTGGAGATATTAAATTATTAAGTTGGGGTAAATTTTTCATTGCTCGAGGCGGCCTGAAGCTACCTTAGAACGTTGGGATCATATGTTGCTAAAACTAGATATTTGCCTTACATTTTTTAATAAATGTTAATAGGAAGGGAAGATAGTTTCATGGATATCACGAGATTTTGAGAAATCTTTACCATACGACTCGAGTTGAATTCAAAAGATCACCTTCGATCCGCCATTTTGGCGGGCAATTATGGGCAGACCAAGTGCACTTTTCCCTTTTTTGCCAAGCAAAAATAACTGGAACTTTTCGTCTCCATTTCGTGATTAAGACCCTAAAGCAAGATTTCATGCCAAATTTAGCCAAATCGAAGGAATGAAGTAGCTGATAAAAGTTCGAAAGTTACAGACTACCGCATTGAAGTAGCCAAAGCTAATTTCGTCGCTTGAAAGAGTGTCATTCATTCATTGTTTTCGAATGTCAGACGAAAGTTCGAAATTTTCAGACTATCTCATTTAAGTGTCCAAAGCTAATTTCGTCGCTTAAAAGAGCTTTATTCATTCATTGTTTTCGAATAGATTCTCATTAAGCATGTTTAATATTCATTTTGAGCGCCAAAGGGTATGTCTCGATCGCTACAGAAAGAAAACAATCTTAAAAGTTTTAACGCCTTGCGGCCGAATTCTACGGAAACTTTTCAGCAAAGTGAAACTGCACGGGTTATCTTATATACGCACGGCCACCGTGATGGCTCATTAGGAATTAGATTGGACTTACGCGCACCCGCCTTACAACGTGACCTAGACTTTGTTAGCGTAGTCTAACTTGCAAAACTAAGATTAACGTTTGAAACACGTGAAGAGTGTTTCTGCAATCTTGAGTCAGAGTATCGCACGTGGCAGAACTGATTATGTTAAACGTATCACGTTGCAATAAGTTCTACCTTTTGACTTTGCAGACAATTGTTTTCATTTCAGTGTCACAAGTACCAGAGTTGAGTAAATCGTTTTCACTGCTAAAGAGTAGCTAATTTCGTGGACGTAGCAGTAACATTCGTTGCCATTAGTAGACCTCTTGCTTCATCAGGGCTCTTTCTCTTAAGGCTCTTAATTAAGCTAATTGATATTTACCGTTATCAACTGAGTTGACAATGTGAATTTTCACCCATGAGCCATTCTGAAGAAGACGTTTCGAGTGTTAGTCCTTCGTCAGCCAAGTCACGTTTTCAACTCAGTTTAATAAAAACCAAATCATCTGATTATGTAATCATTTGTGTACGTGTACTGCCCTCGAGGGTCTCTGTTTCTTTTTTTACACCTTGACTGCAGCAAAGCATTAACTAATTAAATAGTGCTTTATCCAAGTGGTATTTTAATTCAAATAAGAAAGGCAATTTGTTTACAGCATCCATTAGAGCGTCTCTGCTTGACATACCATGTTTATAACAAAGAAATATGAAATGACCCACAAAGACAAAGTAAATATAAAAAATATGGTGATAAACTTAATTATACTGATATGACTTTTCCAGTAACGATAAGACAAATGGATAAAATAGAAAATAATAATAATAATAATAATAATACAATAATTCATGCCTTTGGCTGTGAAAATGAAAGTGTTTCCTTGTTATATTTCAAAATGCTTCTTTTAAATTTATTAAGGCAATTCTTAAAAAAACAAAAGCTCTTGTCTAAATTTATGAAAAAAAGAAAACTGTTGAAATCTTAATGTCAGAAGAAGATATTTTATTTTATAACAAGACAAATTGTTGTCATTTATGCTTGAAGGAAATTCCGATATATGATAATCAGCGATATCAGCGTTGATATGGCGTAAGCTATATCTTAATAGTAGAAATCGTTTCTTTGCTTTTTACTTATTCAGGTCATTCCAAAAGACATGAATATTAAATTTGAAACGAAGGGTAATGTCAACGGACATTACTTTGAGGTCGAAGTTGAAGGTAAAGGAAGACCTTACGAGTAAGTATCTCCTAAAAAGACAGACCACGATGGATTATTTCATTGTAATTTATTTGTCAACACGGAGTTGAATAAGATCACAGTCTTCAGATAAAGGCCTGATATCAAAGTATCGATGATTTTGGGAAATAATAAAAAATGAGTTAAGACTTTTTTGAAAAGCAAAGTGAACAAGATCAAAGATTCATAAAAAGACTTTAAATCATAAAATTTGATCTTGCTTTTATTCGAGTTTGTGAATTAGCTATGACAGCGACTTTTTCGTCTGCTTCCATAATCAGACGAGATGTAAAGGCTACTGCAGAGCTCAGTCACAGCTAAATTCATTTGCGATGCAAATTACCAACAGTCTCTAACATCGACTTCTTCATCTGCTTCCAGAACCAAGCGAAGTGTGAAGCTACTTCAAATTATCGTATAAAATCTCAGTCACTGCTATTTGCCATACTTTAATTTCTCACCACTTAACATGAAAGGTTATGCAGTATTTTACTTAAGTTTGAATTATCATGTGCATCAAATATTTGGTTCTTACTAATTTTCGTGTATTTCAGGTCATACATGACCC